GTGCATGCGGGGACCCACCCTGGGGCTGTCCCTGGAGTGTCCCCACCCTGCATCCCATGGGAACCCCTAACCCCTGCATCCCGTGGTAACCCCTAACCTGTCACAGGGAGAGCAGCGGTAGCAAAGACCTCCAGCAGAAAGCAGCCCTGCCGTGCTGGGAGCAACACAGGGGACACCGCGGTGGCAATCTGGCATGGGGACCCCTCACCGTTGGCAGGGCAGAGCCCGGTGCTCCCGTGCCGTCGGTTCCCCTCGGCGGGGCAGTGCAGGATGCTGTGAGGCCCCTTCCCAGCTGGTCCCCGGCTCCTCAGTGGGGTGCGGACAGGTCTGCCCAGCTCTGTCCCTCAGTCCCCCCTACGTGCAGGGTTATTGGGGCACGAGGCAGCTGCGTGCCCCATTGGCTTTCATTGTGACTGGCAGATGAAACAGCCACTGGGGAAACTTTTCCCCTCTATTTTTGGTCTGGGCACTTTTCTAAATATATTCGGGGCTAGAGGGGCTGGTGCTGGGGGAGCGTGAGCCCTTGGACACTGCTCAATGCCACCCAGGGGTCACTGTTCCTGCATGCCGGCTGCCAGGGCACTGCAGCCCCCACAGCCCCTGGTGACACCCACCTGGGCTAGGGTGCACATTGGCACCCCAGCCCCCGGGTATGTCCTAGCTGGAGCAGAAAGGAGGGAAGCAGCGCCTGAGAACAGAGATTTAATGGCCTGAGATGCCCTCCTGGCCGTCCGGGAGGGATGGACCCGGTGCCTCAGGGATGCTGTCCGTGGGACAGGGACAGCATAAGGCCGTGGGGTGGCTGTGGGGTGGGGGCAAGGGCTGGAGCCCCCCTGGCGCTGGCCCTAGCAGGCAGAGCAGCGGTCGCCCTTCTCCTGCAGCCCAGGGTTGCGGCGCAGCATGTCCTTGAGGGAGCCGTCCTGCTCCGTCAGCAGCTGGTTGATTTCGTTCTGCTTGTACTCAGAGGAGAGCTTGTGCCCATAGAAGGAGCCTTTCCCTGACGGGGGGTTGGAGTTGTGCTCGCCTCGGCGAGCGCAGGCCCGCACCACCAGGTAGACCAGCTCTGCCATATTGAGGACGATGCAGATGCTGGAGGTGACCAGCATGAAGACGGTGAAGATGGTCTTCTCGGTGGGTCGGGAGATGAAGCAGTCGACGGTGTTGGGGCAGGGGTAAGCCTCGCACTTGACCAGCCGCACCATCTGGTAGCCCGGGTAGAGCATGTAGAAGATGTACATGAACACGGCCTCAAAGAGCAGCCTGAAGACCACGCTGCAGACGTACGTCCACCACAGTGAACCCGATATGCGCATCTTGTGCTTCTTCACCTCCTCCATGTGCTTGGGGTCTGCGTGCCCCGTCAGCACCAGCAGCTTTTTCTCTTGGTGCTGCTGGTAGGCCACGTGCATGGCCACAAGGAGGGCTGGCGTGGTGACGAGGATGAGCTGCAGGGCCCACAGACGGATGTGGGAGATGGGGAAGAAGTGGTCGTAGCAGACACTGTTGCAGCCGGGCTGCTGTGTGTTGCAGGTGAAGGCGGATTTCTCATCCCCCCAGACGCTCTCGGCTGCCACCACCAGCACCATTATCCGGAAGATGAAGATGACAGAAAGCCAGATGCGCCCGATGGCCGTGGAGTGGCGGTTCACCCCGCTCAGCACTGTGTAGAGGCCAGCCCAGTTCATCGTTCCTCACGTCTGCAGGAGCAAGCAGTGAGAGATGATGTTAGAAGCAGGGAGGGTCCTTATCTGAGAGCCACCGCATCCCGGCCCTGGTGGCAGCAGCCCCAGGAGGGACCCGGGAGCAACTGGCTGCCGCAGCTCTGGTAGGTCGACAGCAGGATGGACGGACAGCAGGACGGATGGACAGCAGGACAGTGGCTCCTGCTGCTGATATGACTCAGGGCAGCGTTTTGGCCGGAGCAGGTGGTAGACCGGTTGACCCTGCACTGCCAGCTGCTCCTGCCCTGCCACCCTGCACTAGCACAGGGATCCTGATGTATGGCTGTGGCAGAGGATGGGGGTGAAACTCCCACACCTCTGCAGGGACCCCCGGTCTGCATCCAGGGCTGAGCTCTCTGGCTAGGGATAGACCTAAGGAGCTCCATGGGCTCCTCTGCATCAGCACCTCCCTGCTCCCGTTCCCCCCCATTCTCTGAAGGAATGGGGCCAGGGAGCCCTGAGATGGGGGGACCCCCTGTGCAGCCACGCATTGCCACCATCCTAGAGCCATCCCTGCCTGGGGAGCACAGGGTGA